ACTCATACTTTTGTATACTCATTTGTATACTCACTGCTTTTAGCTTTAAATATTGATGTAATCTGCCTTGAGTCCTTTTTAAAGAGAAGAGTGGGGTAAAAATATTTTAAATAAAATAACCACTGCATAACACTGAACTGACAGATGTGTTTCACATTTCTTTCCATGGGTGATACATTAGCAATGCCGGCACACAACATATATGTTTGTTTTTCAGTGGTTGAAATCACATTGTGCTACTATGAAGTAGATGCTTTATCTGTATAGGCTATTGAGCTCTACTAACAAGCCAGAACTTAGAAAATAAAAAGGGCATGAAAAAGGTAGAACAGCTTGCAGAATCAAAAAAAAAAAAAAAAAAAAAATTCAGAGAACAATTACTGGTCAGATTACTACTGCCTACAAATACTAGTATTAAGTCAAACAATGTAAATCTCATAAGTGAATTGCTGCATATATTCTTCATTGCACAATAAATTATGGACTGGCACAATGAGGGATACAAGTAGTGCTTCCTTAACTAGCAATTCACTGCTGTGGTTTAAGTCACTGGGTTCATGCCTGTGTACTTAAGCAACAAGATTCTAGTCCAGGGATCTCAAACACGCGGCCTGCTGCCGGATGATAGTTTGTGGTCCCCACCTTGTCTGCCCCCCCCCTGAAGTGCCCACGTGTCCTCTGCTGTCAAGAATCAAAAAAAGCCTCGCCTCGCTTGCCGGCTCTCTCCCAAGACAGCGCCTCTTGCACCCTCTATCTAGAACAGCAGCCTGCCAGTCAGCCCGCCTGTCTGCCAGCTGGCAGGCTGCAGTTCCGGATGGAGGGTGTAAGAGGTGTTGTCTTTGGGGAGAGCCAGCGAGCAAGGCGCGTTGCCGACCCTTTTCCCTGAGCACCCGAGCCAAGGTGCCAACAGCAGCTGCCGCCACCACCCCCTGTTCCAGGGAAGCAGCTCTCTGGCTCTCTTTCTTTCTCGGCACCCCCAGCACCAGCCTGGCCAGCGACCATCTCAGTGCCCAGCGGTGCTTTCTCCTCCTCCTCTTCGTCCTGCTTCAGCTGCCTCGGCTCTGGAGGCTGCCTGGGCTTGCCTCGCAAAGTTTGCTCCTCTGTCATGGTGGGGGTAGCTGCTGCTGCTAAGTGCACCTTTTTTTGAGGAGGGCCCTGAGAGGAAGGTTGCCAGACCTCCGTGTGTGTGTGTGTGTGTGTGCACCTGTGGGGCCCCCACCCCATTCTGTTTAATTTCGTGGGTCCCGGTGGGGGCTTTTCTCCTTTGGCAAGGCTAAGTCTATGAGGTTTTTTTAAAAAAAAGTTATGTCGTGCCCTCCTCCCTCCAGCAAGCCCTCCCTTCTCCGCTTCTTCGTCCTGCTGCTGGTGGTGAAGGAGCCGGAGGGGGTCGTGGCTGCGTAACGAGGGGTCACGCGCCCACTCCTTGGAGCCCCAGCTGGGCTAAGGACACTCCCAGGCAGCTTCCTTTGGCTCTTGCTCCGCTTGGCGGAAAATCTGATGTGGCCCAGACTTAGCCTCCAGATAAATTGAGTTTGAGACCCCTTTTCTAGTCATTTTATCTGCTGAAAATCTACTCTGATTAGATCTCCAAACTAATATCAAATGGTTTAGTATTATACTCGTATGTAGCAAATACAATGTGAGAGAGCATCTGTTTCCAAAACAAAAGAATCCAACAAAGGGACTAAATAAATCAAGGCCAGTTTAAAGTTCACATGAAGGGACTTATCTACCATTTGCCTAGATTTTTTTGAAACAGTAATTTTTAAAGGCAATTAACACTGGGAACTCAAAATATCACTCACAGGACTGCTATTTTTTGAACAGATTTATTGAACACTTTTCAGCAAATTTTATCTTCATATATTAGAATGTTAAATATCAGTGTTGAAAAAGAAGGCCTTGTGAAACATGCATGTTATGAAAAATGGTGAGTGATTGATTCATTTTCTTAAATAAGTTGATTCCATTTTCTACTACACGTTAGTTTGTAAGAGGGAAAAACACAGCAGAAAAAAATATGTCTTGAATTTCTCAGGGTCTTTGCCCTCATATTAATCTCTAGGTTTCATCCATATCTCCTGTAAACAAGGTGCCTAGAAGCCAAATTAAATGAGAGTATTTTAAGTAATTCTCCGTTTCCTCCAAGCTGATGAATTTTGAGACAGGTAGGACCCATAAGGGAACTTTTTATTACAATTGATTAAAATGATTCACAGCATTAACTGTGGTCCTGTTTATTTTTCCACAAGAAAATCGTCTCCTAATCTTATGCATACCTGTGAATAAGGCCCAATAAATGAAACAGAATTTACTTCTAAGCACTCACTTGCATTAACATCGAAGTCCTCTACTGGCAATTCCCAACATTGTTATCTCGGGTCTGGATATGTTTGCTGTATCAAAAACACTACATTACTTCTGAAAACATTATGAGCTCTAAACAAGATACACACCATGTTTTCATAAAATACTTTTATTAGTTTCATATATAGTAATATTTTGCAGTAGTCATTCCCTAATATTGCATACTGTTCATAGTCATATGTTTGTTCAGTTAGAGACTCCAGTTTGTGTTTATAGATTCAACAGATTACAGGTGATCATTTGAAATACAAGAATGAGTAAGAACAAATCTTAGAGAAAATCTCAATCTCTACCATGTTTGTTTTCCAAATACATTTATAGGGAATTTAAAATACACCAAAGTGGTAAATAAGGCTCAAGCAAATAAATTCAACTGAGACAATGTGTTAACATTGTGATCATTCCTTTTAAAAAAACATTGACCAATTCTAATAACTGTCTTCTATATGTAAACCTCTTTGAATAAAAGCCTACTACAGTTTTGCATCTGAAATGCTAATTGTCATAGTTGCATAGATTAAAGAGTCATGTCAAATTCAGGCAAATATGTGAGAATCTCACAACCTGTACTGGGAAATGTATACCATTTGATTTCGAAAAGCTATTTCTTTTTTTTAAAGTATAACTTAGTAATGAATAACTTTGTTCTCAAACTCTGTACAGATTGCAGATGTCATTAATACCAACATATGTGACCTCCTACATGCATTCAATGCTTCCATCACACATCTAAGAAAATATGATGGTAAGCTAAACAGTAACATTGATAAATTGGAAAATAACCACATCAACAGTACATCCTCAGAAATAGGAGGATTATGAAGTTTTATATTTGTGATATACAGAAGATGGCACCTTTTAGAATTATTCAGGTACTTGAAAATCCAATTTTAACTCCAAAATATTTATACATGAGGCTAAATCCAACATTTTTCCTATTTATAGCAGAATCATTGAACTGAGGAGGTTATTTGTAAGTAACAAATCCTGCTAACATCAATTGGTCTACGCCAGGGAGGATTAAAACTAGTTGCTACCAATAATCTTGAATCTGACTATCAGATTTTTCAAATTAAAGAGTAGGCACAACTGGCAATTTTTGTAATACAACAAAAACAATGGGATACCCTGTCTACCTTGAATACTTTTGCTTTTTACATACTAGAATCATTATAATCAGCTCAGTTTTCATTAACTTGCATTTGGAATGAATGATGAAAAACATTCATACATTAAAAATTTCAGACTAAAATAATTAAATAAAGGGTAAAATTAACTCAACACTGTTAGCTGCTCAGCTGTGCTTTTATGTACACTCTATTACTTTAGGGAGCATGCGATTTCCAACAAGCAAGGCTGCATTTTCTTCAACCATATTCCACTATCTATACACAATCTACAGTTCACAAAAGCTTCAAAGGCAATCTTGGACACCATAATCCTGAAAGGTAAATGTTGCTGTGGAGTATGGCCACAGTACGAAGATCCACACAGCAGAAGACTGTGAGTTACTGCACTACCAATTCCCATAGCTCTGGCAGAAAAGCCTCTCCTAGTCTCCATGCAAGAAAGGCTATTCTACATAGATATGCTTTCCATTTACTTCTGATCAACATCTCAACAGAGAAGTACTCTGAGCAGCTTCATTCAAAAGTCCTTTGCGGTGCTGATCTGCTAACGGAAAAAAACAGGGCATTTTACCACTGGCTATGTAGGATGCACTACCAAAAAACTCCCCAATAATGACTGCCCCTTTCCTCTCTCCACATTCAGGCTCTTTGCAGCCTTGCTTCAGCAGGTAATTACAAAGATCCTTCTCATAGAACTGAGACAAGAGATCTGAAAAATTAGTGTTTTAAAGCTGAATTTGTTTCTGGATAGAAGATAAACTGCAACTCCTTGAAATTTTGAATTTTGAAGTGTGTCATAGTTACACAATCATAGGAGTGGGGAGGAAGCAATGCATTGCTAGTATTACAGCCAATCTTTCTTAAAAAAGAGAGTCACATTGGTCATCACATTTCTGGAAAGCTAAATTGGCAGAAGTATTTTCATTGTGCTATGAAAGTGAAAGGGTAGCAGTCATATTGATTCAAGCCCAGCAACAAAATTACTTCATGTATATCAAAATGATTTAACTTTCAGGCATTAGGTAATTTAAAACATTTAGGATATTTTATCAAATATGATTCCATACTGAAGTGCATATAATAGTATTTACAAGCAAAACTGTTCTTTTTCCTTCATTTACCTAGAAATTGTGCCATTCTAATGCAGCACTACTACAAAGTTAACACAAGAAATGCTTTTTCAAATAAAAACTTTTTTTGTTCTTGCTTTAAAAGGACAAACTGCAACAAAAAACGACCTATTAGTGCACTGTATTTGGCCAAATGCAATACATTGTGTGTGAGTGAATAAAGCAAGTAACCATGGTTCAAAAAACAAACTATTACAGTTTCACACACTTTGGCAGGTTTAGGATTAGGCATCCTTCAGTCTCGAGAGACTATGGTAACGTGCTCTGTATGGAGGACTTGGAACAGCGTCTAGTATGTCTGAGAAGGCCAATTCGAGAGTGACAATCCTTTCCACACTGAAGACAAATACTGTACAATCTGTCCCCTGTCCAGCTCCCTGATTGTGCTGGTTTCGGGTCTGCCTCTTTGCCTCAGCCTGCTGGACAAGGGTCTCTTCAAATTGGGAGAAGCAATGATACACACTTTGGTAACACTTAAATTAATCATGGAAGTTTCTGTTCATAGTCCCTTGTATGCAGCTATAGAAGCTCCTCCTCATCCTCAGAAGCATTCAATGGTCATTACAGAGTAATCATAAACATATTCCCACATCTCTCACTTGTATAATCAGGATTGCAAATGACCAAAATCTCCAAACACAGTCTTGTTTACTTTTGGCTGAAATACTGCTGCTTAAAGCAGTAAGTCACAAACAGAATAGGCTCACATAATCAGTGGAAATTTGGTGAGTTAACTCCTCCACAAATTCCACTGATCCAACGGGCCCATTCCAGTTGCAACTTACTATAATAAGCAAAAGATTTTCAGCCTTTGTGTCTTTTACTAACAGCTTGACAGACAATATTATCAAAAGCTAAAACTTTTTGCAGCAGGAAGATCTTGCAGCACGTCAACCTGGTGTTAAAGGCACAGCTACAGCAGCCAGTAGAAAAATTGGCAACCTTATCTGCAGTGTCAGTGAAGAAATAAGAGGAAGAGGAAGTTTTCTTGCATGATGGGGCAGCAAGGACTACAAAACTCATATACTGAAATTAGCTACCATCCCTTTTCACACAGCAGGGGAAAAAGGGTTTTTTGCAAATATTTTAACATTGCATCATGTACAAGCAGCACACCTCAGTAAGTGTTATGCTTTTAAATATAAATATATTTCACCAGTTTATCGCAAAGTTTCACTCACAAAACTATATTTTCAGTATTTAAATAAATAATTTCATTTTCAAAGTTTAATTGTTACTAGGAGCTCATATGTCACACTTCAGTTTGGAACATTATTTTTGCTCCAATATAAAGAGGTAGATTTATTGTAGACTGGGCACATGACCCCTACTACTAAAATTCATAATACCAACAGTGATTTATGCATAATGATGCATTTCTACCAACTGCTTGAAAACTCAGTATCTGAAATCTGACTGAGTCCATTCAAGGGTACCTGGACTATTTTAGAATCCATCAAGCTTTGTAACATTTTTAAGCTGTGATTAGTATCTCTGGACACAAGACAATGGAAATACACAGATACAAAATGAATGAAAAAGCTTAAGTTCATGAACTTTTTCTTCACTTGACACTGATCAGCAAGTGGGATTCACCATGATACCCTACTGATTTTCCATTTGTCTAAAGAGTTACAGCTGGAAGCCCTCCATTGGAGCTTCCTGCTCTTGAAACATAAATTGTTGCTCATTCTCATCCACCTGCGGCACAATGTTTGCATCTTCTTCTTCCACACCAAAATAATGTTCAATAAGATCAAATGCCTTCTGATAGATCTCCTGGTTTTCATGACTTTGCAGAATTTCAATTTTATCTAGTCCTGAATTTAACAGAAAACATATAAGTTAAGATTTATAGATTCTGTTAATTATTGTTTCTTACTGAACAAGCTTATTTAATATACAAAAAGTGACTATGTGCATAAGCCAGAATGACAAACCCCAAATACATATTTTTAAAAATATCTGATATTTATTTGACATGAGGCTTTTTATAGCTAGCACAACTGTATTTTAATACTTCTTGCATACATATTTTACAGAATATTTAACTAGGAGATTCAAAGTAGAAAGAGTTTGAATGCCTGCTTGCATACAAACAAAATGCACTGAATAAACGCGCACAGCAAAATTAATACTTTTTAATTTGAAATAGGGATTGAAATGTCACTGTGACATTTGTAATTTCAAGGTGTGTATGGCTTGCATGTAATCCTACAAAGTTGCACATACAGTATTCCAAAAGTCACAAAAAGGAACCTTTAATTAGTATCAATATGCTACTGCTGATGACAACATTCCCCTTATGCAAGGGAACCACATCCAACAGAATTTCAGCTGCTCTCTTACAACAATTGAAACAGCAAGCATTCTACCTGCATTTCTTGGAACCCTATTTTCTAAACAAGTATGCTAGCATTAAAAGGCACTGTATCTTAATTTTTTAGAACTTCCTTTAAGAAGTTTGTCAGCTACTTTGAATGCTATTTCTTAGTCAAAGGCTGGGGTATAAATGATAATAAACAAATTTCTTACCATATGCTTCCTCTATACGGGCACAATAAGGATTAACACCAATCCCGTTTTGCTTAGATTCTTGCTCTCCATGTCGTAGAATGTTTTCAAGTCCATTCAAGGATACCTGGACTATTTTAGAATCCATCACCGTCAGAAGATCACAAAGAGGCTTGGTGCAGCCTAATGCCACCAAATAACTATGTCAGAGAAAGGGAAGAGGAGGAGGCAAAGACTCAGATAAGTGGTTTCTAATATTAATGTATTAGGATGCTTTCACAACCAACTCATTTTTGTTTCTAGTACATTATCAAAATATCTTTCTTGTACAATCTAAAGACCATAAAGAATAGTAAACAGATAATTTTATTCTAAAGATACCAAGTACATGTCTACTTAATCTGAATTTTTTCTCTTCTCATGAACAGTGGCCATAATGATGCATATGTGGATACACTCTTTCACTGTATCAAATGTTGGCACAGGCTTTAGTGTACACATTCAGAATGGAAAATATGAACATGCAAACAGAAATATTTTAATACTTATTCATACTGAACAATGTACTGTGAGCACATGGATAAAAAAACTGAAAAGAGTATTCCCATCTCTTGTGAAAATACATCTCTTGCCAAATTACTTTTCATGAATATTCTGAGGGGAAAAAATGAATTTCAAAGCAGTACATTCTGTTCAAACCCAGCTTTGTTTTCCTCTGATGTCATTTTGTTTTCTCATAAACTGCATTATGCTACCAATCAGGGATCACATAGTGAGAGGATGTTCCACAGCTATGTATCTATTAGATCATATCATAATACAAGTGAGTTCTAAGTAGACAGGCAATAATGAGATAAGTATTAGAGCTAAACTGAACATGTAACACAGCAGATTTTTTTAAAATCTTTACGTAAGATACAAGTATGGAGTTACTGGGTCAACCATCCCATTAAAAAAAATTAGGGTGACTATAACAAGGTTTTACCCTGCAGAAGATTGATGTGTCTGGCCTTCCTTAAAGACCTGACAGGTGGATCTCCTATCAGATGGCAAGACAAAGCAAGTTTCCATCTCCTCTGACCTCCTGCTGCATTTTACTGATGTAACATGAAGTCAAAAATAAGACCCTGCCCAGGAAGGAGGATTCTACAAATTTTGTAGTGATCAATAAAGCCACCGGCTGACCTTAGCATATAAAAATGTTGTTTAAATACAAAGCATTGCCAGCTAGAAAAGTGAAGTATTGTACTATGATAATAAGCAAGTACTGTTACTTGGATTAATTTTCTAAAGTTGTACTAATGAGGTGACAAGATTTTTACTAGTTTTTTTTTCTTCCCAGATGACGTATTTCCTAGAGAAAACAGATTTGGTATTGGTTACTCATTTCCTACAAGATGAACTACTGCAAATCTCTGTATCTGGTTGGATTGCCTTTAAACAGTTTGGAAACTATGAATTATCAGGAGCTTGATTACTGCATGGTTAAGTCTAATAATCCAAGTCCTTGTCAACAATACTGGCTATTTACTTTTGAGTTTAATGTAAATATTGGCCTTATACGACTCAGAAATCTATTCTCCTTTACAAAGCTAAACAAACTGTAAGATCAACCTGCAGGTTCCACTCTCTGCCCTCTCACTGAGGAAATCAGGTGGATAGGTACAAGTCCTGAGGATTCCCTCCATATCGGCCAAAGGACAGTCTCCCTGTTTTCAGGTATACCTTGAAAACAGTTCGATTGAAGAAGGCTTCAAGGTCTAACATGTTTTGAAATAATTACTCTGGATGATTACTGCTATATTCCTATTTAATTTATATATTGGCTCAAATCCTGTTGCTTAGTGTACTAAACTGCATTAGAATAAGGCTACTGAATCAATGGGGATTTGGTGAATCAATTCTTCCATACATTCCTTTGACTCAAATGGGCCTATTCAATCTGTGACTTAAGTCACAGATAGATTAGGCTCATTTGAATCAATGGAACTTGACTCCTATTCTAGCACAATTACACTAAACAACAGGATTTTGGCTGCTGAAACTGTGATATAATTAACTTCTTACCATTCTAGAAGCCATTTTGGTGGTATTTATTTTAAAAGGGGAGGGGGTATAAATAATAATTTTAAATATTAGAAATACAGCAATGGTATTCATGACATCATATAAGTGCTTAGCAAATAAAGACACATTTCATTACTGTCACTTTTATCACTGCTTTGAATCAATTATAATCTATTACCTAATTTGTTCAGGAGTCCCTCCTGATGTTGCATTAGTGATGGCCCATGCAGCTTCTTTTATAGTACGAAATTCAGCTTTCTGAAGAATTTCAATCAACACCGGAAATATATTTGCATCTATAACAGCCTAAGAGGGAAAGGGAGATATGAAATTACACTGATATCTATTTTAAGCCAATGGACTCATTACTGAATGGCTGAAAAATACATCCTCAAAGACATTATAAGAAAACAAAAATGGTCATTTTTTAAGCAAAATAGGGTGATCTCAGATACTTCACTGAAATCAATAATACATGCTTTGTAAGGAATCTGTAATACTTCACTTACTTAGTGAAGAGTACGACACAACAAAAATGGCTGTTACACTGGTCTCTTCTGATAATATGGAATCCAATCCCTACAGTTTCCTTAGGGAAGCTAGTAAATGATATATCACCCTATGACTACTATTGCTTGTTTGACCAGTAAGGTTATGGACTATTTGCTTCCTTTTGCAGGTCAACAGATGAGCATCTTGAAGAAAAGATAGGTCCTGAACTTGACTAAGAGATACCACCCTCACCCCACTTCCCACATAATTTGACAAAAATCAAAATAGAGGAGATAAAGCCTTAGCAGTACTACACCAACCCTCCACTTCAGGCATTCAGTAAAACTCAAGAGTACTAAAATCATTTATTTACACAGACCAAAGACAATTGTTTCTTAACTGTTGCATTTTATGTGAACCAACAGAAGCTACTGCAGACACTATACACACCACACTACCCTTGCAAAGCTCAGTTCACTACAAGTAGTCAGTTTTCATCAGTTACATAAGGTGGCATTGTGGCCACTTTGCCGGACAAAAGTTGTGGGAGGAGACATCTTGCCATTATGTATAATCCTTAACATACCCAATCTTCAAGGAATGGCAACCTACTTCTGCCCAAATGTACCCTTGTTCCTTAACCATGTACATGCCCTATCAGATAAAATGACTTCTCAAAAAACTGTACAGGGTAATGTGTAGAACTGTAAAAGATCCAATCCAGCAGGAAAACACAGGTCATCACAAAAATGGAAAAGACCCTGATGTAAATAGGACCGAGAAGAGCCACATGGAGAATGTTCGTTCCTAACCTGTCCCTCAAACTGTAGGTTATTGCATATATAATACTGTAATGTTTCTTGCTGGAAGACATGTTTTACTGTTGTGACTCAGAAAATAAGCAAAAATTATCTGTCAAAACTTTTTGGTTAGTGTAAAATTGGACACAGTTCAGGAGTGCAAAAGCAAACCATGCCACATCTTCCACATGCCAGTGGCTGTTTTTCATAATTTTTCATTGCTACAATATGGAGGCATATAAGACATTTGCAGTCTTGCTTGTTTGTTGTACAGCTGTGCTTAGTCACCCTTAGCTCTAAGGCAGGGGTCTCCAAAATATGGCCCACAGGCCACATCTGGCCTGCCTTGTCTTTTTATCCAGCCCAGCGTGCATGTGTGGCGGTGAGCAGGTGGCCGTATGTGCATGTTCCTTTGGCCCTTGAAAATGTGAAAAATATGTGGCCCTCACAATGAAAAGTCTGGAGACCCCTGCTCTAAGGTAGTGAACTGAAGCTATGCCTATAAAATTATTTCAAGATAATTATGAATGCACTATTCTGACACAATGTGAACATATAGCTATTTAACACCTGTGATGAGCTGCTGAAATGTTCTACCTGGGAAAGAGAAAAGGTCCTTGTAACGTTCAGCCCTGCCCTCACCTGTCCGTCACAGCTGGGCAGTGGAACAGCAGCCAATGAGGGGACAGAAGGTGGTGCTAAAGGGGGAGGAGCTGGGATATAAAGGGGTGTATGGTGTTAGAGTGATCAGTTTTGAGAGAGATTGGAGATGAGTAGTTTGAGTGAGTGAGTGAGCCTGTCAATGGAGAAATAGTCTGTGAGATCCAGTGTTTTTATTAACAGTGGATTGACTAATTGATTTTTACCAGTGATTTACCATTTTTATTTTTCTGTAATCAATAAACCAGTTTTTGTTTTGAAAAGATTCACTTGTCCTTCATTTGATTTTTTTAGGATAGGCTGGTGGCAGCAGAAGTTTTTTGAAGTGAAGTAGCAACCACTCTGTGAAGTGTGAGGGTGGCTCTTCGGGGGCGTGGGTTCGAATCCCACCGCTGCCACCAATTTATTGTAACAGCCACCCTCAAACCTCAGAGAGTGGTTGCTACTTCACTTTAATCTCTGCTGCCACCAACCTATCCTTTAAATCAAAAAGGACTAGGGTTTCTCTCAAACAAAACAGGTTTATTGATTCACAAAAAAAATAAAAGTAGTAAATCACAGGTGTAAAATCAATTAATCAATCACTGTTTCTCAGACACTAGCTCTCACAGACTTTCCCTCACTGACAGGCTTTCTCTCTCACTCTTCCTAATAATCACTTTTTACTCTCATCTCAATCTCCAATCTCTAATCTCTATCTCTATCTCTCAAAACTCATTTCTCAAACACCATACACACCCCTTTATATCCCAGCTCCTCCCCCTTTAGCACCACCTTCCGTCCC